GATTATGAACCAGTAAGAGGGATAACCATGGAAGTCCGGGCCAGCTTGCTCGCATCTCGACTAATCCCATGGCACCTTGAAGTTAACAACCAAACAAACCTCCACCAGCCCGTAGAGGAGTTGAACTGGTGACCTCCGTGAAGCAAAACCAATGCCTTACTAATAAGTGGGGAACTTCCATCAAAATTTGCCTCCCAAGTAGTAACAAGCAACCTTGTGGCGTTCTTTATCTTCAAATTGGTCGATTCTATGAAAGTTACCATTAACATTGCTTAACAACCATAGAAAGGAAGACTTCTTTTTCCTTGCAAAGGTAAACAAGCTCATGCTTTGGCCCACCATGGCCTCTGAAATAATTAATCTCCTCAGATAAGCATTCCATGCCTACAGATAACCTTAATATAAAAGAATTAACTTTTGGTGTTCTATAAAAGGGAGCTATAAATGTAAATTCCCTAATCTCATCAGAACCATCAAACAGTTTCAAGTCAACAAACACATACTGGTTTAAGTCCTTGGACATTCTCATTTCTAGCCACACTTTAGTCTCAATCGGTGTATTATGCAGCCTGATCTTCAACGGTATATCAACAGGTAGTCCTGCCACAAAAGGAAGCGGCTTTAACCAGTCATTGTCCCCAATATCCACTTCTGCTTTCATGTATCTAAAGCTTCCAGAGAATACAAGTTGATTTAAGGAGAAAAACTCAAGCGACTCCCGAAACCGAGAGATATCACATGTATCGTTTTTCTGCAATACTTTAATGAGTTCGCTCACAAATCTAGAAGGTTCTATTGAACAATCCTCATAAAGTAACATCACCCGTGACTTTGTGGAGTATAATTTTGTGAGAGCAGATTCAGGACAGCTGGCATCAAAAATAGACAATCTCAGTGTACAAGCAACAAGCATCAGCTCAAGAAAATGCAACTCATCTTCTTTACTCAACCCAATGAACCTACATCTTACTTCTCTCAGAGTACTCTCTAACTTCTGCAAAATGTATCCTAAGTTCCCCATCTCATTATATATAAAGTTTATTGGGCATGTAACATGCCACCATGCTTTTGAAAGCAGTTTCACCAGATGCAGGTATTGTAAAGTAAGAATTAATACGGAATCGGATTGATGTGAATCGGTGATAAAAGTTGCTAGCTCTTCCTTCCAACTCCTGCATGTATTAAATTGGTAGGAATTAAGATTATGATAAATAAATAAAAAAGGTGTTGTAGATTATGGGTCAGGCTACCCTGGCTATACATGGCTTGTAAAGGTTGTGTAAAACAAACAAAAAAAAAGTAATCAAAGATTTTGGCCTAGCATTACCCTGGTTACCGGTAGAGTCCAGGCTCCTAAAAGGTCAACGATTCAAACCTCACTAAAGGTGAGGAGTGTATATGGACATTATATAAATTTCATCAAAACATAAGGGAGAAATTTCAATTTGTAATGATATGGTTAGTGAACAATACTTCTATGATCATTCAAAATCCTTGACAAAAGAGCAGTGAAGAAAAAAAGGAAAAATGAAAATAGAGGAAGACATTTCTTATCCCCGGTGCATAAAAGAACACAGAAAAGGGGAAACTAAAAGAAAGTAGACATGATCTATTCATGGTTGTCTCTGCATGACTTTTATTTCTCTCAGATCTCAATACATAACACCATGTCTTTGTGAACAAGTTGGTTTAAAAAATATAGACAAGGGCTTTTGGCCAATTGGTATGAAGTACAAACCCCACCATTGGGACATGTTCCTTTTTTGGAGGGAAGGAAGGGGGTTGTACTGGGGTGGGGTACCTCCCATAAAAAAAAGCTCATTAATAAGCATTTCATTACCCTACAATATTTTCTTTGGGAAAATCAGCAAACTAGACATTTTTAGCAAAAAAAAAAATCAAGAAATAGCCATTTTTAACTATCACCAAATTAGCCAAGAATTTTGCAAACCTGCAGAATCACCTTTTTTATTTGTTTAGTGATAGCCGAAAAGCACCTTTTGTGATTTTTTGTGCAGTCAATTTGAGGAATTAATGGCTATTTCCTGATAGTCTTTAAAAAAAAAGGGTATTTGATGAATTTTTTTGCCAGAAATGGCTAGTTTGGTATACAACTCTTCTGACATATGATAAGAATAGATGTAAAAAATCAAATGCTACATACACCAAAAAAAAACTAAAAGGACGGAAATTATAACATATAAACTAACCTCAATGTCATAAGCACTTCACTTATGCATCCCAACTTTGTCATATCCCATATTTCTCCGATATTAGCAAGGATGAACTTTACACAATTATCTGCTACATGGGGAACGGCTATTTGGCTTGGTTCAAGGAGTCCCTGCGACTGAATTTCAGAACCACCATCACTCATATGAACCATGTCCAATCTGACACAACAGGTTAGTCGTCCGTTGGTCTCTGTTGGCAGATCATCTTCAACCATCTTCACGGAATCTATAGGGTTGACTCCAGTTGATCTACTACAATATGACAAATAAGCCAAAAGTGTGTCCTGGTTCATCACTTCAGTCAAGCAATGAGAAATTCTTCCAAGCATTGTAACAGCATAAGAATATAATATTGACGGTATGCTGTGCAACTGCTGTTGCTTTCCATGGGAGAGTGGAGCAGAGATGGCCAATACAAGACGTGCAGCAGTTTTTGAACTATTGAAGTCGCAAGTGCTTTCGGATGAAGGTTCAATCTGAAGATTATTTAGGGATGGAAAAGTTTATATAAGCACTGGAAAAGAAAACTAGAAAAATGTCATGCCAACAAGTGAAAAATTAGATATAGAGCAAGATGTTATTCCCAAGTCCCAAAAACCAAGAAAACCACCAGAGAAAGGAATGATACAATAATCTTTAAACAAGGTGCTTGTAACACCCTCGCCCAAAGCAGCGGACTGACTCAATAACCTCCAAATCAACTTAAAACCAAGGTGGAAGTTATTGACAGCTCACAACTTTGAACTTATAAGCAGCTCAGAAATATACTTGTCTATCCATGTGGGACGGATTGTTACAATGCTAAAACAATACAACATAATTTAATGTGTGTATCCCGATGGTATAAAGACCAAGAAATGCGAGTTGATGAACAGCCAAGAAAACCAGATCAGTAAAACCCAATGTGATTGAAAATGGATTGTTTTATGTTTTCTAGCTATTTGATACAACCCAAGTGGTTCACCCATCACATACATGTAACCTTTACCGAGCATGGGACGTGGGGCGGAGTTTCAATTAATAACAAATTGCACTTCTCGTGGCTAACAAAAAAGACATAATCGCAATTAAACTTAATATTCAATACAAGTGCACAAAAATGTATATTCATCTAACTGTTACATCAGCAATAATTCGATTAATCATAAATCATCTCTTTTCCATCATCCCTGCACATCCAGAGAGGGGAAAATGCAAGGGGCGGGTGACCAACATACAAAAAGCAACCATGCACTAAAGCAGAAATATTTATGCAAGAGCCGATTAGAAAATATCAATATCAAAAGAAGAATATCGAAGAATAGACAATAGCATGAGGATGAGGATGAGGATGTCATAAAATCAATAATCGTTCGTGACAGAATCTGCCCTTGAGCAGAGTGGAACCTGGAAGTTAGTTGATTTTCCTATAGCAAGAACATCATCGGTTGCAAGTGGGTGTACACTGTCAAAAATGAATCTAGATGGCTTCCTTAGCAATTGACATGTATTTTATGTTTATAAGATTGTTTTGGTCTTTCTGGGAGCCTTCTTTAGAGGAAAATCATGTTTTGTTGACTATATTGTCACTTTTTACCCTAATGCCAAACATTAGTGGGTGGATTACTAGGCGGCATGGACTGAGGTTAAGATTTCAGCCTTGGATACAAGAGATTATAAATAAGAAAAGGAAAGGATTAGTAAGTATTTGAGAAATGGATGTTGAATATTAGAGATAGAATTATCTGGTCATTCTCTCTCCATTTTTTTCTTCCCCTCTAAAGCAAGCAGAATGATTGATACACACATTAGGATTAATATTGAACTATAAAAGTGAGCCAGAGCCTAAATAGGTAAATCATGGGAGCATCTTTGCAGTCTATGGCATGGGATAATCTATGGTAGATTGGTTCCTTATACAACCATGTGCTTTTGGAGGTGAGTTGAGATGTCACGAGGCTCCTCCCATGTAATTACTTTGTTTTGAAATGAGGGTAAATAGAACAAAGTTGCCAAATCCAACTGTAGAACTTACGAATCAATGTACCTATGTTTAATTCATGTTTATAAATAAATAGCATAGTCTGTCTATCACATCAATTTTCATGTTGGTGTATACAGTATAATTAAGGAATTGAAGATGATTGATTTAACTTTGCCTTCAGATTACAAAAATGGAAGAAAGAAATGAACAATAAATAATACTGCAACGAATAGCTTGTAAAAAAATTAAAATGACGACCATCGAACCTCTGAAAGAATTTCCTTAGTGATGCTGACAGCAAAACTTCCATGCCTTCGGCCAATATCAAATATAAGAGAGAGAACATCCGGCTCATCCTGAAAAAAATAAAACTCACAGTCAACAAAAACATCCTACATTTTTTGACAATTAAGTTAAGATGGAGAATCAACCAGCAGCTTGTGTCATTAAATTGACAGAAAAACTTACAGATCGGTTAAAGGCATAAGAACAACTTACCTGTGGATATATTTCTAGACTCTGTATGAGGCTGTCAGCAGCTAGTTTAAACAGAGGCAGGTCATGGAGCTTGGTTAATCGAAGTACTTTCCTAGCTGTAAATCTTATGGATGAGTTCATATCAACTAGCGTGCCAAGGAACTGTGGAATCAAACAATAACTAATTAAAAAACATGGTAAATGGGCCAACCATTGCACTAAGATCCAACATGGCTTGTATGCTTAGAATTCACATTGAATCAGCATTTTTGGTCGAAAGGGTTATTTTGATCCCATGTATGGATGCTAAAAGAGTCTAAACCAAACCAAAAGAGCGCAGTATATACCACCCAAAGGTGGGGGTCGTGGTCGGGATTGGGGGTTGGGATGTATGCATACTTGATCTCTACCCTCAGAGAGTAGAGCGGTTGTTTCCATGCTATATGGATGCTAAAAGAGTAAGTGGCCGTTTACCAAAAGTTTACCCAGGTAAGTGCTTATGGCAAAAGCCAACATTATCATTTACTTACTGGGTAAGTTTTTAGTCCACCAAAATGGTATTGTATGCAACAATTTACCCGGTAAGCACTAACCATGGTAAGAGTCATCGCTGCTACTTACAGGGTAAGATTTTGTCCTTGTCATATGCATCCGGTAAGGTAATGTTATTTGGTAAGCGCTTACCCAAGTAAGCGTTTAGTAAACGGCCCCTAACATCACAAATATTGCAGGGTGAAATCTTAAACTATATGAACTGACTGAGAAGGAATGAAGCTATTGCTATAAACCAGATCCACCCACATAAGGATTACTATGCTGTTAATTGCACCGCTATAGTGGTGAAATAGTGGTTAGCGGTATTCAGGGTAATGGCGGTCCCCCGATTATTTGCTCTATTGGCTGCGAAATGAACCCCCGTTTACCATTACCAGTTTACCATAAACTATCATTAAAGTTCTGAACTATACCACAGTACCAAAATTGGATGCAATAATAGAAAAAATAGAGGTTAAATCCCCAATTTTGTTTTGATGCTGAAATCATATGATGTGCTAGGTTATGTATGACTGTGTATGTACAGATAATTCTAACTATTATATGAACCGCTTTACCATCGCAATACCCACTATATTATAACAGTCCTGCGATTTCAGATTTTGACGGATGTAACAGCACAGATAAGAAAAATAATCACCGCTTAACTTGAGGCATGGATAATACAAGGGAAAGTTAAAAAGAAAGTTTCATATCAGAATCTAGATTCTCGCAAATACAAATATCTGCATCTGCACTAGATATTCAAGAAGTCAAGAACTAACCAGAAATTTACCATGTGCATGTGCATTTCTTGCACTTTTAGATGACCAAAAACTGCCATGTGATGCATGGTCTCCAGAGCTTGTAATCTGACAACAGTTGAATCATCATTCAACACATCCATCAATAAACCTAAAGCTCCAGCAGCGAAGTCGGCAGAAAGAACGGCAGGCATCCTCAAGGCATAACATGCAGAACTCCGTACCTTCAAAAAAGGCAGACCACTTATAGTTAACACAAATAAATACAAGAACAATAACATTTGCAGAAAACAAGAAAAGTTCATCCTCAAACAGGAAATCAAAACAGCAACAGATAGGGATGGTCTTGTTCTCAGAATCCTAAGGAATTTTATGGAATTGGAATGGCAAATTCCTTTGACCAAATTCTGCAGAATTCCACAGTTGAGGGATTTTATCATTCCTTGGCATAAGTCGATGAATCTGAATTATATTCCTTTACCAATATCAGGGATTTCATAATTTAATTTTAAAAAGACAAAAATAACCTTTGAATCCAATTTAACCAATACCACCACAAGTTCACCCACTCCCACCCTCATCACCCGCCCCAGCCATTGCCACCACTACACTTTCCACCACCACCGCAAATTAATATCATCATTAATTTTATCATCATATATGATTTTATAGTTAAAACAAGAAAGTATGAAAATGTGGTAAAACATCATTATTAAGCACTATTCCAAAGTTATATTCTTCGAACCAAACAAACAGATTCCAATTTCTTTGACAAATTCAATTTCATTTCCTGTTAACCAAATGCATGGTCAAACCTGATTAAATTCCACTCCAACTCCGACAAAATAAACGCCACCTTAAGATCCCAAACCGTACATGAAATGTTCATTCTATATTCATCATTTGAAATCATAATTGCAGTGCATTGGGAGTACCTCAAAGAATTCATCCTCCAACCCATGTATGAAAGCTCCGGCAGCACTTGATGCTGGTAAACTTAAAAGCTTTCCTGAGAGCTGACCAGGGAACATCTTTTCTTTCGTGGTCGGTAAGACTTTTTTAGAGAGGGTTTGCATCAAAATGTACTCGGACGCCATTCCTGCCTTACCAAGGGTATTAAAAGCTTCGATTCTGACTTTCTTACTCATGTCCCTCACCATTGAACAGAGCTGAAAATACATTCAGTGTGATAGAAAATGGAAAAGATGAGGTAAGATACACCAGAAAGTTATGTTGTTACAGAGGCCAAAATCAATAATCGCGATCAAAACTGTGATTTAATATAGCAGTTATCGCGATGGTAAAGCAGTCCAAAAATAGTGGTTCATATAATAAATTAGAATTATATACATGCATATATATTTATGTACACATAACTTAACATATATATCCCAGCATTAAAACAAAAGCAGAAGATTTAACGTCCATTTTTCTATTACTTCTTCCAATTTTGACAGTGTGTTATGATTAAAAAGCTTAGTGACCGGTTCTGGTAAAGAAGTAAGAGCATTAAATTAGTAGTAACGGTAAATTGGTAATTTGGAGACTGAAATTTCATTATTACAACATATTAAAAACAAAAAAAACAAAAAAATGGGTTCTGGGTCTTTATTGGAAAGAAGGGTAGATAGAAGATATATGGGGACAGATTTATGTGTGGATGTGTGATCGAATTGCTTAACGGTGGTTGAACAAGTCCCCTAAAAAACCCAAGCTAAGACCAAAATAGAAACCACAAAACAACCCACTTAACACCAAAATAGCCTACCATAAAATAGCGCTATTACGACTGCTATTGGGGTTTATTTCGCGATCATTTAGAGACCTATAGCACTGCTAACTGTGGGACCGCTATTTGGGACTGCTATTTGACCACCACTGTCAGACTAAGCACCACTATAGCGGCGCTAGTAACAGCATAGTCCTTAAAAATAATAAAATAAACAAGATTAATTTCTTTTATGTCAAAAATAATTTATCACTTGAAATTTTAAATGAAATTTAATGCATTTTGAGAAGATTAAATCAACAGCTACATTATATTACATGAAAATGTAACATCCCCGGTTTTCAGAAGAATAGGAGAATACTTCAACTTAAGCTTGATGTTAATTTCTATATGTTACAGAGTTACAGTGCAGGGCACGCTTTGTTAGTAAATTGAATGGGGCAATGAGCATGCTTAAGCATAGTGGGAGAAGGATGAGATTTAGAAGACAAAAGAAAGAAGAAGGTTAGAAATCTAATTATTATATTCAAAGCAGAGTAGTGGCGATTCATCGCCTTCTTATACGTATTTGGCTCTCATTAGAGCCAATTTAATGTAAAACTTGACAACAAAAAGGGGATCAAATGTGTTTAACGTTCTTTCAACGGAAAAAGGATCTGCACTTAGAAAAAATTTCATGAGAATTCGAGAGTGAAATCCAGTCTTGTGTGTGGTGTCTGGCTAAAGCTAAGGAGAGAAAAAAGGATAAAAGGACTCTAGCCTTTAAGATAAGTTTTCATGAGTAATCTTTGTTTCAGTTTCTAGTATATCCAAGTCCTAGACGATAAGTTCTTTTAACATGTCAAATGGAGAAAATTTCCTCTTTGATGTAAGAAAGCAAAAACGTAGCTTCCTCTTGAAAAAAGAAAATTAGATAGAAAATGTCTCTAGGCACATGAAGTTGAAAGAAAATCTATATTATTGCATGGTGATATTGTCGCAAATGTTTTTATGACATCATAAGTTGAAGTCAGTGAGCCTTTAGTTCATTTAAAATTTAAATGCATGCTCGTCACATCTAATAAGGTTTTGGCACGTCATAAGGCATGGAAGCAGCATAGAAGAGTTTGTGATTGTTATTTCGCAGTTCAGGTATTTGAATATTGTGTATTATAAGAGTGGCATCCCATGAATGAATGCTTTAAAGAATGAGAATTAGGAGTCTGCAATTGTTGTTGCTCTTTGACAAACAATGTACTAACTAGTAACGAAGTTATATATTGAAACTCCTTGATTATGTTAATACTTGTTGTATGCGTAAAGAGGTATAAGTGTGACGTATGTCGGAGAGCAATAGTGTTCAAGAAAGCCCTTCAAAAAAAACATTTGGCTTCACTATCAAGTAAGCAAGGCCCATTGGTCATGAAGAAAGCTACTTAAGCTTAGGATGGAATTATGTGCGGTGAATAAGATAGATTTTGAAATGGTATAAGTGCTAATGTTTGGTGGGAACTGGCACTCTTATTCTTGTGGCTCTAGTGTGATCTATGATAGTGATGTCTCAAAGAATGTTTATATCATGTATCTTTGGTGAGCAAGCTTGGACCTTTTCCTACTAGATGCTCTGATCCCTTGATACGATAGATATGCATTCATATGCCAAGTTAGTCAATTGCAACGTGAATAGTAAGTTGCTACGGACCCATCTTCTTCTATTATATTTATATATATATATATATATATATATATTGATATATTGTGTAAAAGCTTCTTCTGATATATTTAGTACCCCTCTACTTGACAAGATTTTTTTGTCTGTGTGTTCGCTTAGGAGATGATGGAGATGGTAGTTTGAAATGCTTCATAGGTTCCCATTTTTGGTTTATATGTTTGCATGCTTGTCTATGTAAGGTTAGTACTAAAGAGCCACTTAGGTAGTGGGGTTTAACTTAAAAGAACTCTAGAGCATCTCTTCTTTGGTAGTGAGTTTGCTTTCTGCAATTCTCGACATATATATTTTAGTTACAAATTGAAAGATGAGTCGCATGCTAGTAAGGGCATCTCCAATGGGAACACCAAATCTTACACCACTGCCATAAAAAATGGTATAAAATTTGGTGCAAACAATAATTCTTCTTCAACGGGTAACATTACTTTTTACACCAAAATGTAAGATTCTAAGTATATTCTTCTTTATCTTTTAATTATATAAAATTTCAATAAACCCTTATATTTATCAACTTTATAAATTATACCCACATATTTGTTTACAATAACTTAACAAGTCTTAAAATTAATTACAAAATAAATTATTTTATTATATAAAACAAACATTCCATTAAACAATAAATAAAATTTATAATATGTAGATAACTATTAAAAAGTTGAATACATAACCATTTAATTGATTAAAAGTTAATATATAACACTTAGAAGCTCTAAAAAAATTAACACTTCTAAAAATTACATAAATCTCAAAATTGAAGAACCAAACTTGTAATCATGAAAAATAGAGAAAAAAAATGGTGTAAATGAATAGTGTTACACCAAATTTGGCGTCTTATTATTCATTACACCAAATTTGGTGTCCTATTATCATTACACCAAATTCGGTATCTTACTATTCTTGTACCAAAGTTGGTATCTTACTATTCATTACACCAAATTTGGTGTAAGAAATGGTCTTCCCATTGGGTAGATTTGGTATAACAAGTAATTGTTTGGTGTGAAATTTAGTGTGCCAATTAGAGATGCCTTTAGCACAAGATGAGCCGACCGTTCTAATCGCTGCAATTAGGCCTTGTTTGTTTTATAAAAAGTTCTTATCAGCCTCTTATGTCTAATTCGGTAAAAGGTAGAACATTCAGACTGTTTATTTTTTCCAATTTTTCAGAGACAATTATGTCTTACCGTCCTCTTTTCTGGTAAGAGGTAAACCAACCCCTTGTTTGCCTCTTATTGTTCTCCAGACCCTCAGCAGTTGGCGTTTCTCAATCACTCCTCTCTCAATTAATTAACCTTAATCGATCCTTTCACTTATAGTTGATCCTTATCCAATTGATCCTTTCTCTATATCGATCCTTACCCCATCGATCCTTACCCCTCACAAGTGGATCCTCACCTCTCTCAATCGATTAACCTAAATCGGTCAATGATCAATCGATCCCATGTTGTTGATCTCAATCGATATTAATTGATACCATCGCTCTATCATCGTTCTCCACCAAGTATTTGTAGATTGAAAAAGAAATGTCAGCGTTCCTCACCCAGGTATTTGTTTCTATTAAGTTATATGTTGTCACTAATTTCATGACATGATTGTCATGAACCGTCATGAATTTGTAGATACCCTCTTTCACTAAATTTGGAGTTAGGGCTGCAATCAAATGTCAAATCGGATAGTTTTGTGCTCCTAATGGTTTTGAAGTGTCATGAATTGCTAGTTATAATTTAGATGTAAATTTTGTAATGATGACGAATAAACAGATAAAATTGTATAAATGTATAGATTCAACATTATATTTTGAAGGGTGAAATAGACAATTACACAAATTCAAACATCTATCAGTTTACAAAAACAGTCTTATTGATTCTGCTTTCAGACTTCAGCATCACCTCTTATCAAGCAGAAATGAAATAAGACTTCAGACATCAACACCTCTTAAAAAACAAACACCACCTTAGAGTTTACTATCAATTGTGAAAAGAATAAGCTTAATATGCTTGTCGTCTCAACAATACCTTACTGATTCAAGGAGGTGTAATAGGGAGGGTTTCTTATAAATTATATCAATTAGCTGGGCTTCATATCTCAGGATAGATGATGGTCTACTTATTAACTAAAGATCCTTGTCTATTTGATTATCTTGAGATATTCCACAAGTAACACGGTCCTGTTCTTTTGATCTAAATATAGAACTCTAAAAATTTACCTAAAATATTGAAAAAAAGAAAGAAATGAACATTAGAAATATGCATATGAAATGCAGAGTGTTTGACCTCAAAATAGAAATGTAAAAGTGACCGAGACATAAAGAATTTTTGATACCTGTACATACAATGCATCTGAGCAATCTCTTTTGCTTTTATCCTCACTATTTTCCACAAGCCAGTTTCCCCATTCATTTACCTGCCACACCAATATGATTTCAACCCATTTGCATGCCCTTGATACAGTAAATCGAAGGCAAGATGCATTAAAACACAATAAAGTTTAGTTTAGTTCCTATTTAGTGTAACAAATAATTGTTTTTTCTCGATCAATCAACATCATTTCCTAAACTTGTACCCATTTCTTCCTGGTCTTGTAACATTTGATGACTTGGAGACATATTCATGAAATATTTACAAAATATTTAGAAAAGAGTAAACTTTGCATTAAAATCATCAAATGTTACATTAAATAGAAAATTTTAAACCTTTTTGACACTTCATCATGTAAACTTGAAAATTTTGGAACTTTGTTAAACTTCCTATCACTCTAGATAGGAACTAATACGAACATCATTGCATGTTGCCCGAAAACCAATTCTATAAACAGAAATTGTCGATACATTACCACATGAACAGCTGAGCATCTCACGCATTCCTCGGTATCAAACAACAGCTCAACAGCACGCAAGTAGCATCCTTCAACCATAAGATGATCGTTAACAACAATCCATTTGCAGAAATCAATCAACCCATCCAAAGCAGCCTTCCTCACGTAAGGATACGGGTCCTTAGTGAACCCTAGCAATACCGTGAGCAGAACTGACGGTCGGACTCTAAATTTCTCCGCATCCATTAACAGCCTTTGACGCACAGGCACGCACGGACCGAAGCAGAGCGATAAAAACAATCCCTCTGAAAACGCAGGACCCAAGTCGGAAGCAGAAGCAGGAGCGATGGAAACAAGGGTAGAGAGTGCAAGTCCGGCGGCACGTGGGGGAATGCTGGGGCAGTGAAGGCAGAGCGAGCGGAGTATGGTGGTGACGGTTGGGGAGAAATGGCGGTGGACAATGGAGATTTCACAAAGGAGTGTGATGAAATTGAGAAGGTCGAATTTGGGGTTTATTGTAGCTGTTGATAGAGTTTCTAAGATTTGGAGGATGGAGGAGATGGTTTGATCGGAGGTTGAGGGGTTTAAGATGAGAGATCTTGCCATAGAGAAGGGTTTTAAAGATATCTTTGTCTGAATTCTGAAAATTTGTTCTAAACTCGATAGAAGCTTTTGCTCCATGGCTATGGAGTCTAGGTTGGTCACGAAAGCACTGCAAACAAAGTTTAAAGTTTTCTTTTTTCTGGAGCTTTAGGCGGTAAACTGTATTTTTCTCAGACGTTTCATCGAACACCTTTCAGGCACTCCACAAATCACCATATTTATGTACATCAGCTTAATGCTTTGCCGCCGAGACAAGAACAGAGCTAGGGGGTCGAGACCAGAAGGGCAGAAGAGAGGGAGAACGATAGGTTCAAATTCAATCTTCCAGATTGGAGCAGTAGTGATTTCTTCAAAGGGTTAAATTTTCTTTTAGGCCCAATTGAAACCGTGATTTTAGAACTTGTACCCGGTGTCGAACCCGATACATTTTCATTTCATCTATTAAAGTAAACTACAACTTGGTTTCGTCAGGGTGTATAAAAAACCGATAATTCATGAGAACTGTCCTAACATGTTAAACTGTCAATTCATGAGACTCGTTTAATCCAATCCGCTAACAATTCAATTAAACTTAACCTATCAAACCGTCAATTAAAATGATTGAAATTGGGTTAGGTCTAGTTCAACTCATCCAACCCGTGGCTAATATGTAACTGTTATAAAATGATATATATATATATAAAAAACTAGTTTATTTAGAAAAAATGTATTTATAATATATATATATATATATATAAGTATATATCATGGGTTGGGTTCCAGTGAGAAATAAGTTACGGTGAAATGTGTAAGAAAGGATATGAACCATTTGATCAATCTTAATTGAAGATCACACTAATGAGATGCAACCGGATCAATTCTCGTAAGAAGCACAATTAATGGATGGGTGTAAGACTAAAAGTGATAAAGGGTTCAAATATCTTTTTACGTTATTGTTGATCCTCTCTCTCAGTGATTTGATGATAATCTTTTTTTTCCTTTAACGTTGTATTTATGTTTTTGTATTTTCAGTTCCAGCGATCATCACTGAGTATGTTCAGTGATCGCTGAAGAACTTGCTTTATAAATTCATCAGAGACAACAATACTTCAAGAAGA